CTTGATCTCCCACTCCAATCGCCTAGCATCAGTAGCACTCCTCACTTTCTGCTCGAACTCGCGCTTCTGCCGTTCCAGCTTCTCGCCTGCTCCTCGTCCCAGCCGGTCCCTGCCCCTGTCCGTTCTCGTGCGACTGAATAGGAACAGGTTTAAACGATGCGCTGCGTCGCTTCGCGTGCTGATGCTCCCATTACCGCTGCCGGAGGCGGGTGGTCGCCAACGACTTCGCATACGCCCTTTGCTGCGGCTGGACAGCGCCCAAGTGCGTCCTCGAACCTCCTCCTCGGGTCGGGGCGAACAGATCTTGCAGCGGCGCTGCTCCGCCCGCGGACGATTTGCGTCGCACTGTATCTCCACCATCTGCAGCGCGCACGGTCCGCACGGCCAGCCGGTCTTGCCAGAGCGCAGCCTCTGCATCCGCCGCCGCTGCCGCACTCGTCTCTCCCGCCGTCGAAGGAGAAGAAGTAGCGCCCAACAAAGCGCGCAAACTGGAAGCCGACGCAGATGCTGTTCCTGTAGCCCGCACGCCACCACCGTTCCCAGCATTGCTGGAAAAGGCGTGAGTGTCACACTCCCACCACCACCTGCGCCGCCAGATTGCCGGCTGTGGGTAACATGCGAGAGGAGATGCTGTGGTTGTACGCATGAGGAGGTGCTTTTCGCTGTCGATGCTACTGCTGATGACGCTGATGACATTGCCGGACTTGAGTCGGTGGTGATGCGCGCGCGAGTCTCGTGCATAAGCGTGAAGCGGCAGACTGGGGTGATTGCCGACCTCTTCCAAAAACGAGTGGCCAGCCGAAGACGATGAGCAGAGGTCTGAACACCCTGGTTTCCATCCACAGCTGCAGGTGTTGTCCAGATGCGCAGAGGCTTCGTAAGATATGGTGAGAACGGTGTAATGAGTCTCACTCTGCCCGCCATGCGGTCTGAGCGGGAATGTGGCGGGCCTGACGGCGTGAAAATGCATCGTGTCAATACATGGCAACCGGTCAATGGCTGCTTCTTGGCCAGCAGAAAACAAGTAATTGCTTAGAGCGGCACAATTGTTCATGTGCGTTGAGCCCCATCGATCGCGCGATCCGCGCTTGATAGATGCTTGCTCCGTTCGAGAGCATGCGCATAGGGTGTGAACACG